ATAAATTTGTTAGTCTCTAAGGTGCCACAAGTACTCCTGTTCTTTTTGCGGATACAGACTAACACGGCTGCTACTCTGAAATCTAGATTGTGCTAGGTGTTCTTTAAAATATAAGACAGTTCCTGCTCTGAAAAGCTTAAAATCAGGTGAGGGTGGGAGGGAAGAGAAGGGATGTAATAAAGTGGTCAACGTAACAGCTAGGAAGCACAGTTGCCAACTTTCACATGGTAAATAAGCACTGCGACTTTCACAATAAGCCAAAAATCAAGCTAATCCCATTTCAAAACAAGGCCACAACAAGCCAATCCCTAAGAACCCCAACACTCTATGTGACTAGATCCCCCCAGCGTGCAGTTTGGGACTGTGGTGGGCCCGCTGTGCACCCCTGACTCTCTCCCCCCCTTGCTCCTGCTTGCCGGGAGCCTATCAAACAAAAGAAGCAACAAGCTACACACCAAACAAGCAACAAGCTACAAGCCAAAAACTAGCCAACACGCAACTCAGAAGCCAATTAAGCCAAAAACAAGCCCAATTGCTGTGTTTTTTTCATGGGTTTGGCATGTCTGCTAGGAAGCCTATTGGTAGTTCTCCTTTTTAGAATTGCATCAACTATCCCCAAATGTTCTTACCTAACAATCAGCTAATTTAGTTGAGTTACTTGATTGGTAAACTCCTTATCAGGGAATTGTCCCATCACCAATTGCTACTGTTCAAGAACAGATTCATGTCAGTATAGTATTCATAATTGTTACCATAACTCCTCCAGGACCACCCCAACAGACGTTTTATTATACTGTCAGTAAGTCAATATGGACATAAGTTATAGCTAACTTGATTAATAAACTTCAAAACATATCTATGAATATTCCTCTCTCTCCCTCCCCCATCAAATGAACGGAACTAACTTGCACTGAGAGTGACGACCTTGATGTAAAGGAAAAGCTGAGGCTCCTTTAGCTTTGACTTTTTCCTGAGCTCCAAGCCAGCTAGTCTTCCTAATTAAGCTCCTTTCCTGTAAATATTTTCCACTTATGCCTGATGTCTTTGATCAAAAGTTTTCTTTGCATGAAACAGGTTGTTATTAGAGCTGTATGAAAAATTTAAAACCAATTTTGTAAACCTTGACATTTATGCGTTGACTTTTTTGGATGCCCAATCTTCATTACCTTGAAAATGCTCAATTTCCATAAGCACTGAGCACCCGCTTCTTTAAAGAAAAAGGGTTCCTTTAAAGATTTCTAGGTACTAACAAAAATAATAAAATAAAAATGGGGCCCCATAAATCACTAGTCATGTTTGAAAATCTTAACAAGAAAGTCCAGAGCAGCTTTAGTCACCAGTGTTATTTGTGACTGTGAAGTTCATCCAAATTAATATGATCATGGTAGGACATTAACAGCCTTGTGACTTTTTTAGCTCAGTAGTTTACTCAGAACATGCCACCATTGTAAAAAAATAAAATAAAACCCAAAACCAAAAAACACTGTAACAAGGTAGCACAAGGTAAAGCGCATCTTGGTTTATCATGTGAAAACTATTACACCCCAAGATCAATGATATTACTAAAACATTCTCTTGGGAAACCATAGCCTTCTACCTGACAGCTGCTTTTTAGTTTTGAAAAAGAAAGTTGTTTGATGTTCTGAACATTTTTGTTTGTTTCTCTAATTCTTGTGGTAAAGGGGCCTCAAGCCATCTTGAGCAAGTACCCCTGCTCAACAGCAGCTAGTATATTTTTTGAAGAGCCCCAGGGCCACTTGCAAATATGCCTCTGGTCTATTTGAGCTTCCTATGTATTCGGACAGACAGAAAACTGGACTGGATGGACAGGAGAGGGTTTTTACATTAGTAGCAGTTTGGGGGAAGGGGTGGAATTGTATCTAATGTTAATGCCTAAATGTTTGGGACCAAACATGCCACAACATGAATTCAGAATGAAAAGATGTAATATCCAATATTGTTAAGAAATCAATCAGGAACACATACAAAAATAAATCTGTTAATCTTTAAGGTGCCACCGTCCTTCCTTGTTGTTTTTGTGGATACAGACTAACAGGGCTATCCCCCTGAAACAGGAACACATATGTTCATTACTATTCCTGATAAATCATCTAGTCACTCCTTCTCAGCCTGTCGGCCAAGGCAAGATTGTTTCCAATGATACTCTCCAAAGCTTCATCTAGTTTTAAATGACTCAGCTATTAGGGTGTTCATTGCTCTCTCCTGCGGAACCTATTCCATGATCTAATGGATCTCGCTGTCGAGAAAGTGTTTTCCAGTATCTAGACAAAGTTTATTTAGTCCCTCCTGCTGAGTAAATACTGAGTATTTACTATTCTCCCCCGTTGCCTCCCCCAATTCCCCTTTACAGCGGTGCCAGTAGCTGGAGCCTTGCCGTCACTGCCTCTCCTATACTTATGGGAGACTGAAGAGTATATCCCTGACGGGGACATTTGAAGAGAACGAAATCAAGCCCCCGGCAGCACTGAAATTAGCTCCCCCGCGCCCAGCCCCAGCGAGGCGCTAGGGAGGGCTCCCTCGCTGGGATGGTGGCGTTTGAAAGGGGGATTCCCAACAAGATGCCTGAGGGGGGAGACGACAATGCCCCATTTGAGGGGGGTTCCTGGTCTCCCTCTCCCCCCCCCCATCCCCCGTAGTGTCTGTCCTGGAGACTGTCGACACCCACCCACACTCGGCCCCTGCCAAGCGCCTCGGGAAGCAGCACCTCCGCGCCCCCGTTCACCAGGAGCAGCCCTCACTGGGCCACCCCAAGCCCTGGTGTGCGGGCTCTGCCCAGCCCAGCCCAGCCCAGCCGCCCCCTGCTCGGCACTCACCGCCGGCCAGCAGGAGCAGGACGCTGAGGGCCAAGCGGCTACAACCGCCGGCGGGAACCATGGATCGTCCGTCCGGGGAACAGACGGCAGCCGCAGCTCGGTGGTGGGTCGATGTGTGACTGTTTTCCAAGCGAGGCGGGCGGAGCGCCCCCTGCGGCCGGGAGCCCGCCCAAGAGCCCCGGCCTCCGTCCGCCAGAGACTCCCCCTGCCTGGCTGAGGGGAGGAGTAACCAGCGCCTGGCGGCCTCCTCAGTTCAGCGCCCCCTTCGCCTCCTATTGTGGCGGCGGCCCACGCACCTCCCGCCTGTAGCCTGAGGCGCCGCGGGCGGCACCAGAAGCCCTGCCCCGACCCACTTGGTCACCGGGATGCCTGGGTTCATTCCCCCCTCTGCCACAGATCCCTCTGTGCCTCGGGACCTTCGCCAAAGCAAGCCTCCCCCTCAAGGAAGCCGGGAGATCCAGGCTGCAACTTTAGCTGCGGATTGAGGCAAAGTATAGAACTGGCCCCTTTGGTCAGGTGCCCTTTTGAGCTGGAGGCTGCACACTGGCAGTGTTTAAAACATGAGGCGAGCGGGATCGTAACACTCCCCTCCGTCAAAGGGCTACATTCCCCAGAATTCAAAGGGCTTTAGCTGTAGGGGTTCCAGTGTGGACACTTTTCTTTTTAGTTTCCCCTGGTGCCGCAATAACTAGGGTGGTTTTATTATTTATCATGGAGTTTAGTATAGGAATCAAGTAAACATGGATCAATCCTTCAAATAATAAATATTTGCAGACTAAGTTCACATAGGTGCTGCTAGATTGAATATGGGTGAAGTAAAGCTTTGCCAAAAACAGACCTAGCCTTGGAAAACAAAGACTTTGCCCCCTTGTGGAAATAAGTAGGTAATAGTTAGTAGCAAGTTTATGTATAACGGGACTAAGTTGGGTTTGAAAAGCACCATTAGACTTCTGGCATAACTGATTCTGTGACAATTTAATAGCTTTAGCCGAGCTCAGCCTCTGCAAAATGAGGACTACTTTGCTACCTCAGAAGGTCTTTATAATGACGAATTGAGGCTTGGAAGATTCTCCCACATTATAGGGAGGGCTATTTAAGAATTTAGATCATTCAAAACACAATTTGATCCAATAGCTCCATGGAAGTCTGTGTGATTTGTTTCAAGGGGATTTTTAAGTTTAACTTCCTCCTGCCGTATGTAAACCACTAATAGCAGTTGTGCAACTTGTACATGAGACACCCCTATGAAAATGACTAGAAGCAGATGAGAAACAGTAGAACGTCCTTGTCTACTGAAAGAAATGCAGAAATCAAAGATGACCACTATAAACACTCTAAACATGAACTAATCCTCATAGCTGCTGGATTATGTAGATAATTATGAATTATTTTGATGGGGAAACTGAGGCAGAAAACATAAGTGAGTGGGTCAGGACCGTAGATGGAGTCATTGTCAGAACCAGTGGTTTAGTAAAGGAGTTCTGGGCTTGCTGCCTTGTGTTGAGAGAGAGAGAGAGAGAGACAGAGAGAGAGAGCGCACACACACACACACACACTTTGTTTTATTCATTTAAATCCATGCAAATGTTTCATTTTGAAAAGTAATATTTCATCTAAGCTGTCATTTTAAAGGTAAATGTGTTAACTAGAGTTACTCACTCCTTCATCTTGACCAAACAAGATTAGTTAATTGTCACCCACCCCTGCAGTCTTCTGGGTTGTGTAGAAAGTTACTGTTCACAAGAAAGCAATGGAGGGAGAACATATCTTTCTCGGACCCCAAACACTGTATAAAAATGGTCAGGTTTACATTGTGTATGTAAATTAGTGACTTACAGAAACTCTATCAAATGCTAGTATAAATTTAGGGATTACTATGGTAATACAAGGTTTCAAGTTACCTTCTGTCCATTTACTCTTATTTGTTAGGGCAAATATTAATATAAACTCAAACATTTATTAGCAAGTAACACTGTATGAAGAGATTTACATAGCTGTGTAAATAGCTCACCCCTAAGTTGTGGTTTGGAAAATATTTAGCTTGAATATATCTGTGATAAATAGAATCTTATCACATTTCCAATATTGCCAATCCTCAGCATCCAAAGATCAGCAGATCCTCAATAAACATACAAACCACCACAAAACAGACTTGAAATAAGATTTAAAATGCATGTAAGGTTTTTATTAGGGCTATTGATTAGAATCATAGCATATCAGGGTTGGAAGGGACCCCAGGAGGTCATCTAGTCCAACCCCCTGCTCAAAGCAGGACCAATTCCCAACTAAATCATCCCAGCCAGGGCTTTGTCAAGCCTGACCTTAAAAACCTCTAAGGAAGGAGATTACACCACCTCCCTAGGTAACCCATTCCAGTGCTCACTTTATATTATTTATATTACAAATATTTGCATGGTAAAAAGCAAGTAGTATTTTTCAATTCACCTCATACAGTTAATTGCAGTTAACTCATGCAATTAACTAAAAAAATTAATCCTGATTAATTGGTTTTAATCACACTGTTAAACAATAAAATACCAACTGAAATTTATTAAATATTGTGGATGTTTTTCTACATTTTCAAATATATTGATTTCAGTTACAACACGGAATACAACATGTACAGTGCTCACTTTATATTATTTATATTACAAATATTTGCATGGTGAAAAGCAAATAGTATTTTTCAATTCACTTCATACAGTTACTGTAGTGCAATCTCTATTGTGAAAGTGCAATTTACAACTGTAGATTTTTTTGATTATATAACTGCACTCGAAAACAAAACAATGTAAAACTTTAGAGCCTACAAGTCCACTCAGCCCTACTTCTTGTTTAGCCAATCACTAAGTTTGTTTACATGTGCAGGAGATAATGCTGCCCACTTCTTATTTACAATGTCACCAGAAAGTGAGAATAGGCATTCACATGGCACTTTTGTAACTATCATTGCAAGGTATTTACGTGCCAGATATGCTAAACATTTGTATGCCCCTTCATGCTTTGGCCACTATTTTGGAGGACATGCTTCCATGCTGATGATGCTTGTAAAAAAAATAATGTGTTAATTAAATTTGTGACTGAACTCCTTGGGGGAGAATTGTACATCTCCTGCTCTCTTTTACCCACATTCTGCCATACATTTCATGTTATAGCAGTCTCCGATGATGACCTAGCATGTTGTTCATTTTAAGAACACTTTCACTGTAGATTTGACAAAATGCAAAGAAGGTACCAATGTGAGATTTCTAAAGATAGTTACAGCACTCGACCCAAGGTTTAAGAATCTGAAGTGCCTTCCAAAAGCTGAGAGGGACGAGGTGTGGAGCATGCTTTCATGAAATCTTTCAGAAATCTTAAAAGAGCAACACTCCGATGCAGAAACTACAGAAACTGAACCACCAAAAAAGAAATTCCCGCAGCTCCTTTTGGCCGGGAAAGGCAAACTGTGGCCACTGGGAGCTGCGAGCAGCCGTACCTGCAGACGCTCAGGTAAATAAAGTGTCTCGCGGCCTGCCAGGGGCTTACCCTGAACAAGCCGCGAACCAAGTTTGGGAACCCATGTGCTATGGGTATCTGCACTGCCTGTTTCTATATGGCAGGTGGGTCCAACAGTTCTATTGGTGTTCTTTACAGCTGCAAAGATTTTCATGCAATGATTTGCTTATTTTAGTATTTTGCAAATGTATATTGATTTTATCAAATGAATGCCTTTTTTGTAGATTCATTTCAGTAAGTAGGTTCCATAATACTGAATGGGCATTAATTGCTTTGTTTCTACAAAGATACATGTATAACATTTACCAGGTTGCAGTGACTTTGGTGTAGAGCGATGTTGTTTCTAGACAGATTTTTGAAGAGTTATAGTTGTTGCAAACCTTGAAGATGAAGTGGGCAGAGAGGGCTCTTCCCTTCCATCAGTCCAGCCTGTTTCCCTTCCTTTTTTTACCCTTTTCTCTAGGAGAGAAAAGTATGGCAGCAGCTTTAAATGCTTTTTGTAGTTGTATTTCTTAAAAAAAAATCTTTATTCCCTGTCTGAACCTTACTGTAGTTTTGTGGTTTGGGAAGTTTCAGTTCCTGCCGCCCTTTTCCTGAACTCTCAGGTCCCTAGCCATCTGTGCAGAAGGCAACACTGACGCGATGTCAACTATTGCTCTATTTATGCCCTGCCCTAGTGGAGCAGGGAAGATAACTGAGTTACTTAAAATACAGACTTCCTTTACTCAGGATATTGTAGTTTACATTGCTACATAAAAACAGGGAAAGAAGCCCTCAGATTTACAAGTTCTCTTTAAAATGGGGATTTTTGGATGCTGTACACACAAAGCAGTGACATTTTGGATGTGGAACCATAATAATCTCAAACTACAACAAAATATAATATCCTGATTAATTTGACGGTTAGAAAGGATAATACCAATGTGGTGTCATTAAATGAAGTGATAACAGCCCCTTTTACTCTAAGTGTATTTTTAAAACACAGTAGTACCATGATTAGCTGAATCAAAGTAGCAGAATTTACATATTTCAGGTGGTAGCCGTGTTAGTCTGTATCAGCAAAAAGAACAAGGAGTACTTGTGGCACGTTAGAGACTAACAAATTTATCTGAGCATAATCTTTCATGGGCTAAAACCCACTTCATCGGATGCATGCAGTGGAAGATACAGTAGGAAGATTATATATATATATATATATATATATATATATATATATATACACACACACACACACACACACACACACATATACACATATACACACACACACACAGAGAACATGAAAAAATGGGTGTTGCCATAGCAACTGTAACAAAGGTAATTAATTAAGGTGAGCTATTAGGTGAGCTATTATCAGCAGAAGAAAAAAAAACTTCTGTAGTGATAATTAGGATGGCCCATTTCCAGCTGCTGACAAGAAGGTGTGAGTAACGGTAGGGGGAAAAATTAGCATGGGAAAACAGTTTTACTTTGTGTAGTGACCCACCACTCCCAGTCTTTGTTCAAGCCTAATTTAATGGTGTCTAGTTTGCAAATTAATTCCAATTCTGCAGTTTCTCGTTGGAGTCTGTTTTTGAAGTTTTTTGTTGGAATATTGCGACTTTGAGATCAGTAATTGAGTGACCAGTGAGGTTGAAGTGTTCTCCGACTGGTTTTTGAATGTTATAATTCTGGATGTCTGTTTTGTGTCCATTTATTCTTTTGCGTAGAGACTTTGTACATGGCAGAGGGACATTGTTGG